GGGGGGGGGGGTGATGTTAGGAAGATTCCCATGGCATTGATGATAATGCATATTGGTAATGGTAGATGTTGCCTTCAACTTTTTGAAATGATCCTTTTCAATTTAGTGTGTATATATAGTAGAGGCTTTGAACTTCACAATTCAAAGTTTCAGGATAGTAGTTCCTTATTTCCCTTACTCATGTAAAGGAAAAGAAGAAGACGATAGCTTCTTGTTCTGTTGCCTTGTATATTAATTGTGGAAAGTATTAAGCTGTATATGTTTTATTCGAGCATTAGGTGCATCAATGCTACATGCTTACATCATAGTAGGTTTTCCTCCTACTCTGGTTATTGCAATTAATATCTCAGTCAATGTTTAATTGTCCTAGAACTGTCTATAGTCTCAGTTCTTTTTTCTGGTTATTCAACGGTGGAGGTTGGTAACTCGACTAATCCAGCAACCTCCCACCTTTTCTCTTCCTCCTTTGAAACCATGTAATCTGCCTCGTAGTTTTCATTGGGAAAAGGAAATGTTTAGGCTCTCGAGTGCTTTGGCTCATTTTTGGAGTTCTCTGATTCATGGCCATAGTTAAGGATAGGAAAGGTTTGAAATGGAGGTCTTTAGCCTAGTGGAGAGGATCCTCCCACCTCCTACCCTAAGGTTGAGTATTCGAGTCACCAAGGGAGCAAAGTGGGAAAGGACCACTATTGAGTATTGACTCTTGAGCAGGGAGTTTGGGGGGTGGGCATACCATATTAAAAGAAAGAAAGTCAACTGTGACTTAATAGTCACTATCTCATTCCAAATAGACTTAAGAAGTACAACCTGAGTTGGTGCTTGGGCCAGCTTTGCTAGAAAACGTACACAGGAATATTAAGTTTTTTTCCTTCTTATCTTATGAGCTATAATAACACTTTGTGTTTGTGGTAACACTCTGGTGTTGGAACTCCACCGCTCAAAAGAAATAGAAGTATAAACAGGAAACTCTGGGGAGTAGGGAAGCAATCTGATAATGAAAAGCTAGCCATATCATTCAGGGTATTGAGAGCAATTATCTTAACTTTGCCCATGTCCCAACACGACTTATCCTTGATTCCTTCCATGGCAATTGTTTCCGACTTCTTAAGTGCAAATAGAAAAAGATCATCACAAGTATGATTATTATTTTGTCTCTCGATATATGTTTACAGATGTATTATTTATATGTAAATGCTTCAAGCTTGAGTTGCATATGTAGCTAGTGCCAAGGATGCTGTAAACATAACTCAAAGTGATCCTGTGGCACTTCTCCTATTAAATGTCAGTGAAAATATCTGGTTCATATGTCTGTGTTATCCGTTGACTTAGACAACACATATGTACATGCAGATATGCCCTGTTTGTGCTAAAAGGGTCGGAACGAATTTGGTTGGCCATATTACGCAGCAACATGGAAATATTCTGAAGGTATCCTTCTGGTGCTTTTTCTTTGTTTGCTTAACTGGGATTTGAATATGAAGCCTTTTCTGTGTTCAGAAGCTCTTGCTAGAACTATAAAGCATCTCTCTTCTGTCTGCTTTTAGTGCTAGACTCCATATAGTTATTATATTTAATTGACTGTGTAACAGGTTCAGCGCAAGAGACGATTTCGAAGGGGTGGACCTAATTCAACTCTTTCTATTATAAGAAAAGAGCTGAGAGAAGGAAGTCTACAATCCATTCTCAGGGGATCCTCCCACTTGGTTTCTTCCACCAGTGCAGATCCTGATCCCTTAATATCTTCATTCATTAGCAGCTCAGCTTCGGTTGATGAACCTTCTGAAGTTCAACCTCTGTCTTCGGTTGATGAAGCTTTAGCAGCATGCTCAACACAAGAAAGCGCTGTTGAGAACTTGTCTGACAGGTATGTCAGCATTTTATTACACTTCTATTATGTCTCCTTTTATCATTGCCTTTGATACTGGGAAGTGGGAAGTGGATGAGGAAGTAGGGGTAAAAGGGGGAATGGAGTCCCAGGTGATGTAGTGCTTCTAAGAGTACATGAACGACCCTAGTTCAGCTTCTTTCTTTTGTTTCTTTGTCCTTAAGTTATGGGTTCCTTTTCTCAATGTTTTCGTAATGTTTAATTGCCTGTTTCATTGCTTGGCTGAGTTGCACATAAGTTTTCATTCTCTGTGATATTTGGAACATATTTTTACTACTTAATGTGAAGTCAATTTTTAAGCTGCCATATTTTGATGTAATTTGGGACAAAAGTAGATACCTTTGTATGGTAATGATCCTTTTCCATTTTACCTGCTGTAGTTCTCATTTTCCAATAATCATAGATACTCCTGTTGGTGACTTGCCGATGTTTAGAGAAGATATTAATCTCAAGTTTCGTGTGTTCATCATTGTATAGTGTGCTAAATAGAATTTACACTGTTTAGATAAGGCATTGGTGATGAATGGCATGCTTAGCAGATTCATAGGTCAATAACTCGTCGGATTTGAAATTGAACTGTTTCAATTATGTGTCTTACCATTCATGTTTAATGGCATGTTCTAGACCAGAAGATTCAAAAGACATTTTGGTACATTAAACACATCTTTAGTTTCAAATCAACAACAACAACAACAAACCCAGTGTAGTCCCATAAGCGGGAGTGTACGCAGACCTTATTCCTACCTCGAGGAAGTAGAGAGGCTATTTTCGGAAGAACCCTCGATTCGATTAATGAACATCAGAGCAGTTAAAAGAAAAATACAAAAAGTAAAGAGGACATAAAAAATAATAGGGAAAACATAAGACAGGTTTATCCTTTAGGCAACTGGTTCTTATAAGTAATATATGGCTCTTTTGTGGACTTCAAACTTCCACTTTGTCCTTTTCCTATTCACATGTCTGACATTATTAATCTTCGTGTTGTACTGAGCAGAAATATTCAGCCAACTCCACTATCTGAAGAAGATCAAGTAGAGAAGGCAAGGAAATGTGAGTTTGTGCAAGGGCTTCTGCTATCGACTTTCCTTGAAGACGACGACTTCTAATTTAACAAAGAGGATTTGCAATGTAGTAACTATTATATTATGTAACCTGCAATGTTGTAGCTCTGTGAAAGAAAGAGATACTGCTGCCAAAATCTGTAGTAGTTATTAGGCCAATTGGAACTTATGGAGTCCTACTGTATGTAGTTCTATCTATATATGTATGTATATAATAATGAATACTCTTTTCTTTTCCCTGTTGGACAGTATGCAATATATTTCTAATTTAACTGCGTAAAGACGCAGTTGTGATTCACATTCAGTAGGGTAGGGAGGCCGTTTCTGATATAAGAAACTACGTGATTATTAAATACTACTTATAAGGAGGAGAAGAGACGAGGATAGTCCCTTGCTTCTCCAAAGTGTGACAACCTCGACCTTCAGACCTTCTTATCAAAGATCACGTTCTTATTTGATTGATATTGTGTCATGTCTCGTCTAATAACCTCCCAGTTCTTCTTTGGCTGTCTATATGCATCTTGAGTACAGTTTATAACCATATATAGTCAAACATCACATGAGTAAAGAAGAATTCAAATCTTCAACTACTAAATAATTTGATTGTCATGTTTAGAGGTAGTGTGAACATACAGTGAAATACATTTCAACATCTTAAACACTACAAATAAATCTCAGGTTCATGCATTTGCATTGCATCAACAACTTTTATTAGTAAACATCTAAACAAAAAAGAAAAGAAAAAAAGAATGGGTGTCATCACTTGTGAAACAAATACTATTTCCTCAATTCCACCAGCAAAATTGTTTAAAGCTTCTGTTCTTGATGCTGACATTCTAATCCCTAAAATCCTTCCACAAGCTATCAAGAATGTTGAAATCCTCCATGGTGATGGTGGTGTTGGTACTATCAAGTTGATCACCTTCGGCGACGGTAAAATAAATAAATATATATACATATATATAAGTTCGTATCGATTTTCATAAATGAATAGTTGGTGTAGTACGTAATAGTATTTTGCATTTTACTGACTTAAGATCTTGAATTCGCATGAAAAATGAGTTGGACTTAGTTTTTGTTATATTTTGACTAAAAAAATGTCAATTGTCGATCATTAAGAATACAAAAAGAAAGAATTTCATTCTCTAGACAAAATAGAGACACGTTAACCACCAGGATCGTGATGAGATGTATAAGATCCCTTCCCCCTCAACCAGAGACCTCATGCGTTACATGTACTCCAAAGCGAGTACCAGACATGTTACCTATGTCTCTAATTCTTTTCTTACCTATCTTGATAATAATAATTGTTGTGTTATTTTTTTAGGTAGCCAATTCAAGAATATGAAGCAAAGGGTTGATGGAGTTGACAAAGAGAACTACACATACAACTACACAATCATTGAAGGAGATGCTTTAATGGATGTTCTTGAATCAATTTCTTATAATATTAAAATTGAACCATATGAAAATGGAGGGTCAATTTGCAAGAACACTAGCACTTATCACACTAAGGGTGATGTTCAAATCAAAGAAGAGGACATTAAGGCTGGCAAAGAGAAGGCTGTTGGACTATTCAAGGCTATAGAGGCTTACCTCCTAGCAAATCCTGATGCTTATTAATTTATGTAGTCATAGGCGGGCGGATCTAGTGTGGGTTCAGTTGGTTCATATGCAAACTAATTTATCTTTACCTAAACTGCGTATTCAGAGATGAATCTAGTGCGGATTTCAGTGAGCTAATTTGAAAACTATTGATTTTGACCTGAATTGCGTTCTCAAAGTTAAGGTTCATTTAATTTGAACCTACTGAATTTAGATCTTGAATTCGTCTCTGGCTTGTTGACAAAAAAAAGCAAAAATTGTGTATTGTCATTGGTGTGTCTTTTAGTTTCTTGTATTGTGTGGTGGTCAATTTTTATCTTTTTGTTGTTATTTACTTGAAATTTGCCAAGGAATAAAACTCATCTGTATGTTGTCTATGAACAAGTATTGGCTGATTATTTTTTATTTTCTACTTCTTAATATCAAGAAGACTAATGAATTTCCAATGATAATAATCATAATATTCAGAAGATAAAGAATAGTTCGATAAAAAAATTAAGTTATAAATATTAATGATTGTAAAATTAATAATTATATTATTAGAGTAATTTCACTTATATTTGAGAGATTTATAGGGGAGCCACCTTTGTCTAAGGAGGTATCAAAAGCCATTCTTTTTGTCAAAAAATTATACTACTATATATATATATATGTCAAAAAGTCATTCTTTTAACTTTTTAATTTTTTAGTTTTTTTAATGAAATTTCTGACTTTGTCACTATTTTTACTCAACCTCTAAGGAAAATGTCCACATGTTTAGTTGAAAAAACATTATTGTTTGTGACACACATTCAAGATCCGTCACTAGAAGTCATGGTGGAATGATAAGTACTCCTCCATCTTTAATTAAACGCCTGAGTATATAGTCGTCTTTGATATGTAACACTTTAAGTTGCCCTTAAAATGAAACCTTCCAACGCAAATTCAAATTAATCAAGCCTTAAAACAGATACATATAAGACATATTCAAGAATCAAGATCATATATATATACTTTTATTTATTTTGCTATATCTTCGACACGTCTCCTCACGTGCAAGCCTAATTCTTGTTTCATGGCCAAGCATGTAGATTTTGTGTTTTTTCGAACACTTTTTAAGTCAACATTTTGCTTGTGTTGAGAGAATGATGAATGTTGATGTTAGTTCATATCATCAAAAGATTATAAGCCATCAATTTTCCAAGAATGACTATTCTTTTCATTTTGTGTTTTGGACAAAACCAAACAAGTGTACATTCAGAAAGGCATATGAAATTCCATCATATTCAACTTGATACTTTGATAGACATATTAGCATTATCGCACTTTTCGTGTCGAAAAACACTCACTTTTGATTGAGCAGAAGTTTGTCAATACAGATTACAAGTCAATGCAGTTTATTTGTGATGCAAATCACAAATATTTCTGATATATAACCTAATATGGAGTTAGTCAGCAAAGTTGCTTGATATCTAATGGAATAACTAAAAATCGTGCAATCTCATTCACTCAGCATCAGACTCAACCGCCATATCGTTCTTTTAACAACTCTGGAGGCTCCTCTTCCATGATTCCAGAACCACTTGTTGACAAGTACTCGCGTATTGTAGTTCTACGGTCACCAAGGAAGGTATGATCAAGAAAGTTGTCGTAGGCTAGATCACAGAGATTTTGAGCTGCCAGGACACTACAAAATCACAATGTTCAAGCAGGTATGAAAATCCAAATGATCACAGGGCTAAGAGATTTGAGGAAACAAGTTTCAGAAATGAATATGGTTTGCACTAATAAGTACTCGATGGAACTAACCAATGACGGAGATAGACACGACAAGGGAATATATCATCTCGCCATAACTTGTTAATATTGTACCGTCCATACCGCTGGAAGAAGATGTCTTTATCACCTAATGATAAAATAGAAGATATGAAACTGTAACATACACACAGAAGGTAACATATGATACATGAAGCAACATGAACTTAAGAAAGAAGCATACAAAGAAAAACAAAAGACTGAATCATCAGTTATTTCGTTTTCGGTTGAAGTTTTTCCCATTTTCTTATCGATAGTGTTAAAAAGATAGCTAGAAAATCAGGCTGTTATAGTGAAATGTTGTTATAATGAGGTTTTACTGTATTACTCGCTATCTTTCCAAGTGATAGGAAAATTACCTTTGCATCTATTTTTCAGATATTCCTCATCACTATAACGGGCACAAATAATCTGCATTAAGAGATAACACAAATATGGATCAGGAAGACAAATTATTGGTTCACCAGAGGTACAAAAGGCCGAGCAGTCTCAGGGTGCTTACAGCTGGATTGATGTAAAACAATTCATTTAGTGTTTCCGGGATTACCTAAACACAGAAAAGTTACTGATATTAGTTACATGAATTGAAGTTACATTTAATTTTATACAGATAGAGAAAGGCAAGAGAAGGAAGGATTATCAAAGGTCTTACAGCTAAAAACCGAAACTCGTGCTCTCTTTCAATAAATGCTGGAATCTGGCCTTTACAGAGAAGAAGTTAGAGATAAGAAGTAATCATATCAAGATCCCAACTTAAAATGGACAATTAGTTTTATTAGGTAAGTAACCAACTTAAAATGAATAATTCGTAAGATGTTACCTCCGATCTCTGAATCTCAAAGATAGTAACTATAAGAGTTTCCCCTTCACAGGGCTCCACGCTCAAGCTTGATATTTCCTAGAAATAGAGAAACATCCCACCCAATAGAAGTCAGTCCTAAACAAATATTTGAGAGTAATTCAAAAGGCAGAAATAGTTTATTCACAATGACGGTTTTCCTGATACCTCAAATGCACAATACTGAAAATCAAGTTAATCTAACTCTTTCATTTCAAAGAGGTTTATAAAGATTTTCAATAAAATGACAACCAGGAGCTGACACTTTTCATTTAAACAGAGAGTTGAGTTGACCATGCTTTCGTTTTTATTTTTGATAAATACGGAGATCGAACCAACTTGCACTTAATCTCGACAAATCCACATGGTACCTGCTACCTCTCTCCAAGACAAGTGTCGGTAACTCTATCCACCACGACATAGACAAGAAATCACTTAACTTTTCCTAATTTCACATGGTCTGCTAGACTTATACCATTCTCTCATTTCTACTTTTCTCTCCTTCCAAATTACTTGAAGAATTTATCCTCCTTCCCAATTCCAAAAAAGTGACTTAAAACGATTATAACAGAGACCGTTCTAATTCCAGTTTGTTTCACCTTTACAATGCCGGAAAGTTTCTACTGATAAGTAGTTATGTAAAGCCAACAAAAGTTAGTAGCTTTACAGAAATTGTGACTGAGCAATTTCGTTTAATCATAATATACTTTCATCCTTCTAATACCCAATTAATATATCAAGAGTCCAGCATGCAGAGCCATTTTTTTTTGCTTTGTTTCTTTTATTCTCTGCACCTTCTTAGCAAACCAAACAATATGAATGTAAAACAAAACAATATTAAAGATTGCATTTTTAGTGAATGTAAGACACCTTTGTTTCAGGTTTAGCTATTCCACGCTCGAAGAAAATAGGTGCCACATGAGCAAACACTCTCCGAAATCCACTCACTTTCGCCACTCTGAAGTTGATCAGATCCGGAAATGTACTCCGAGCACTCCTCTCTGCTCTACCAACAACAACACAACATCAAAATGCCATACACAGTGACAGATTATAACACAACTCACTTTGTCACAGCTTAATTCACACTTCCAAGTTAATTTGACTAAGCATGAACTACATTAATTGCCAAAGTAATTCTCACGTTACACTTCTCGAGAGTCAATTTGACTAATCTTCAGAGCTGAGCTACATTAGATCAATTCAACTTAAAAATACAAAAATTATACGAGAAGTACTATAAATTCCAATTTTCTCATATCAATACAGTGAAAACAAATACAATCTTAAAATTGGCCAAAAGTTCATGCAGTTTGAATCTCGATAAATGAAACATGACAAGTATTTTCGGACGGAAGGATTAAATATTAAGATATTTAAAAAGTACACAAAGTATAGAGTATAAAATTGCAATTCTGCAATATTCTCCAAAAATCAAAGTTCAGCATAAATGTATAATCTAATTTTAACCTGAGAGGAGAGAACCGAAGCCACAAACGGTGATAAGTCCATCGGATGATACAATTCGATCAAAATCAGATTCATTGGCAAGTTCCAACGGAAATTTCAGCTCATCGCCATCGACGGGGTAATCGGCGGTGGAGGCGGAAGGCATGGTGAATTTTCGCGGGAAAATGTAATATCTCCGGCGAGAAAAAGAGAAGCGGAGTGAACGAGGAGGATGAGTGGCGGAGGCGACATAAGTAGGTCCTAAGCGCGTGTAGACACGCGCGTACGGCAGCGATGGAAGACCTACACATACAGAAGGAGTAGAATGAGTGGTCATGTGTATCACGTGAATATTGTGAGAAAGATGACTCATTTTTTTTTATATATATCTTCAAAATGTGGTTAAATGCATAATAAAGTAGGTATTATTTCAACATCTTTTGGACCGTTCGGACATGATTTGAAATTACGTTAATTTGAAGTTGAAATTCCATTTTAACATGTTTTTTGATACTACCAAATGAATAAACTTTAGTTTATACATAAAGTATTAGAATGTTTTAAGGTGTCGTATTAATAAATGGAGAACTTACATAAATCACATTAGTTTATGAGTTAATTATTTAGATATACTCTAGTTTGCAATATTATATCTCTTTCTAGATTTTAGTGTGTCCAGATAATATTATATATCTCTCCGGATTTTGGTGTGTTCAGATACATCTAGATACATGTATCTAGAGATATATGAGGTCAAAATTAGGTGTAATTTGTTTTAGACACATTGTATCTAAATGGATTTGCATATAGCTGAGATACATAACAAATCTTGCTCGCCTCTTTTCCATATCGCTCAACACTCTCCTATGTATCTCTCATATGTATCTGATATCAAAGATACATATGAATCACACTAGATACATATAGATACTGTATTTGGTGTGTATATAGTGCGATTTGCATGTATCTGAGATACTTAACGAATCTCGCTTGCCCTCCTCCCCATCTCGCTCATCTCTCTCCCTATTTTATGTATCTAGTAGCAAAAATACATGTATCTTAGAATTATTATTTTTCTCAATAATATATAGTAGGAAACTCATATATTTTTTAAAATTCTATTCAGCATGATTCTTCTCTTCTTTTCATTCTTTTTTTATTTTGCAAAATTTGAATAATGAGTTTTTTTTTACAAAATATATACCTATATATGGTCAAGTTTTACATTTTAAAAAAATAAAATTAAAATCACAATTTGAAATCCTACTTATTCGCGAATTTGAGATTTGAAATTGAAATTAAAATTAAAATTAAAATTTTATGCAGATTTTATAACAAATGATTATTTTAAATTAAACCTTTAAATTGAGGTTCCAAATTTTATGACCAAACATTTGCTTAATATTTTTCAATCACGTTTAATTATTGTGAATTCATTCAACAATTATATATATAGATTGGGCCTACAAAAGATTGAGAAATGTAGAATAAATTACATTCAAGAGGAGAGGAAACTTTAAATAGAAGAATTAAAGTATAATGTTTTTGTAGAGTAACTCCAACTCCAAAACTTAAAACTAGTCGACAATTACTATAAATCACATTTATATGAATATGATTATTAGTCAGATTTAACTAAATATGATTTATAAGTCACACTAATTGAATACGACTCATCCAACAATGTGATTGATAAGTTGCACCACACATATGCAATTTATAAGCCACACATGATAAATATAGTTTATAAGTTACACGCAATAGAATGCGACATAAATAAATAAGTTTCAGCTTATAAATTGTGGTTGATATTTTCTTTAATCTAAAAAAATGATTTAAAGCAGTGTCATTTAATAACTAAAAACTATAGTCACTGGTTAGAAACAAACAACAAATAAATCCCAAAAAAAGAGGTTAAAAAGAAATAAATTAGTAGAGTAAAAAAAAAATTAATTGAAAAAATTGAAAAATTCCAACTATAAGTATTGGTAAACCTGAATTCAATCCTAACCAAATAAACAAACAAATTATTTTCCACAAATTACTTAACAGATTAACTGATAATTCTCTTATTTCTTATCTCTCCCTATTATAAATACATACCACATTTCTAAATTATGAGTTTAACTTCTGTATGCTGGCAGAGCCCAGGGGAACACAAAAATTTGTTAAAAATCCCCACATGCTCTGCTTTGAATTATTGAAGAAAAAAAAAACAACTATCTATTCTTTATTTTAAAAAATCTCAAAAAAATTAAAATTTAAAATGGCGGAGACCAGTAAAAAGAAAATAGTAATTGCTGGAATTGCTTCAATTCTTCTAGTTGCTTGTGTTGTTGGTGTTGCCGTTACGTTTACAAAAAAAAATGATGATTCAACCTCTAACGGGGGCGAAATTTCGAGTTCTAGCAAATCCGTACAAGCCATGTGTCAACCTACGCAATATAAAGAAGCATGCGAAAAATCACTTGGATCGGCTAAAAATACTAGCGATCCAAAAGAGTTGATTAAAACCGCATTTGATAATACTATGACTGAAATTTCAAATTCAATTAAAAATTCAGCTCCATTTAAGGAAGCTGCAAATGATCCAAGGACTAAGAATGCTTTAAAAGTTTGTGATGAAGTTCTTGACCGTTCGATCGAAGAGTTCAAGAGATCTTTTTCACAAATTGACAGTAATGACCTTAATAAATTGATTAAAGAGTATATCTATGATGTTAGGTCATGGCTTAGCTCTGCTGTTACATTTGAAGAGACTTGTATAGATGCATTCGCTAACACGACTGGTGATACTGGTGAGAAAATGAAGAGTATCTTGAAAACTGCTAGCGAGTTGTCAAGTGTTGCACTTGATATTGTTAGTAGCTTTGAGGAACAAATGGCTGGGTTGCAAGGCCTAGGTATCGCTAACAGACGATTGTTGGTCGCGGAAGCAGGTAATGTTAAGCTAGATTTTTAAAAAAATGAATGAGGGTGGAGGGTGCTTGTTAGGTAGAGTTGGGTGTGGGGTCGCTATAGTTGCATGGTTGAATACCCGATGGCCGATTCTACTTTTCTATACCCTTAAAAAAAGGTTTAAGTAAAAAAAAAGAGAAATGAACCATCTATGAGAGAGGTTGTCTTCTCTCAAGCTAGTGGTCTTCTAGTTCTAGTCGACTCTCTATGATTAGCTTCATTCTTTTTCCGGCTCCACTCACTCATCTACGCTCTGAGTCACACGACATATAATCGAAAGATCTTTTTATGTGATTCATGTCTTTCTATTTCTATGACCAAGATTGTTTTATCGACTAAGAATCATAGAAGATTGAAATTACGAAATTTAAATTCTGAATCTGTCTCTACAGGCAACCGAAGGCTCCTTCAAATTGCAACCCTCAAGCCCAATGTTGTGGTGGCTCAAGATGGTAGTGGACAACACAAATCAATCAATGAAGCTCTTAAAACAGTTCCCCCAAACAATGCTCAACCCTATGTCATCTTCATCAAGGCTGGTATTTACAATGAAAATGTTGAAGTTGCCAATACAATGACCAATGTTGTTTTCATTGGTGAAGGCTCAAACAAGACCAAAATTACTGGCAACAAAAATTATCTTGATGGTCTCCCAATCTTCCTTACTGCCACTGTTTGTAAGTATTGAATCATTTATGTCATTATATGTACATACATATAATAAACATCAAAACTTAGATCTCAAGCTAATTCAACTCAAAAGTTAGCTCATGACGTAACAATTGCTTTAGACCATATAGGCATAGGTAGAATTAGTAAAAATTGTACGTGTACGGATCAATTTTTGAAGAAAAAAAAAAGGTAGTGTTTGAAAATTCGTTGAAACAATGTCCTGGATTTCGAACTTAAACAAGTGAGAAATCCAAAATACTGACATTGATGGATGCAAAAAAATTGAATATTTCTCTACGACTTTTGATTTTTGTGTCTATTTTACAATTATAAACCCGAAAAATGGTTATTATTTTAGAGTTTTATGACAGTGACAAAGGGGTTCAATTGAACCTTTTAATATAAATTTCTGACTACGTCACTGTATACAATTTTTGTAGCAATCTCCGGACAGGGATTCATGGCTAAGGATATCGGATTCGAGAACTCAGCAGGACCTTTGAAAAAAGAAGCTGTCGCACTCCGTGTTTCAGCTGAAATGATAGTATTCCAGAACTGTCAAATTGATGGTTACCAATCAACACTTATGGCTCATGTTGGCAGACAATTCTATCGCGATTGTACCATCTCAGGAACCATAGATTTCATCTTTGGAGACGCGGTGGCTGTGTTCCAGAATTGTAAGATAATCGCGAGGAAACCTGAGGAGATGCAGACACAGGCTATCACAATCGCAGCTCAGGGAAGGATGCAACTATTCGGAACAGGTCAGTGATGTATCTAAGTTCAATGAATTAAATATCCTTCGTTGAAAAATTACAACTGTGTAAGTATGATAAAATAGTACAATTTTAAGAGTTGTTGCGATGTGTAAGGGAGAATATAGTTTTCACCCTTAAGAGGTGTTACCTGATACTTTGCCAAAACAAAATATGTTTATTTGTATAGATAATGTTGATCAAAATTAAAATATCATATATAAATCTAAATAATGAGACATTTCATTACATATATAAGCCTTTGATCATGTGATCAAGAGGTCAGGAGTTCTAGGAGTGAATGTATAGTGTAGGCTATCGATTTGATCTAATCAAGTAGCTTTAGCTCAGAATGTGTATATGTGTTTAAGAAATCTACTAAATATATATAAATATTAAATTTTGAACCTAGTAACGCAAACGTTCTATAAATTTAAAATGCCCCTTGAGCCCATAAAGTTCAAATCCTGTACTGGACAGATTCAAGCTATAGGTAAAAGTCTCATTGGAAAATACATCATAAATTGCATAAAATAGACACAATGTGGTTCATTTTTTCCTATACATTGTGAACATCGGGAGCTTAGTGCACTATGCTGTCATTTGTATTAGTTGTTGAATCCTTTTACTTAAGCAAAAATTTCTTTAGTTTACAAGTTGAATTATCTCGTTAGAAATTCTGACTCTGTCACTGCCTTTGAACAGGTGCAATAGTCATACAAAACTGCACGATCACAGCTGAGCCAGCTCTGGTCGCCATCAACCCACCACGCAACAAGGCGTTCCTCGGACGACCAGGGAAGATGTACTCAAGGACCATAGTGATGCAATCTCAAATTGATGGATTCATTGAACCTGAAGGATGGACTCCATTTGCTGGTACCTTTGGACTTGAGACTTTATATTTTGTTGAGTATCAAAATAGGGGTCCAGGTGCAAATACTGATAAAAGAGTAACTTGGAAGAATTACATTAAGAACCCTCCACAAGATGTTGTTGCTAAATTTGCCCCAGGAGTTGTACTTAAAGGTGGCGATAATACTGATGGATGGGTTAAGAAAACTGGTGTCCAATATGAACCAGAGATGATGAAGATGTAAAAAAGTTTGTATATCTTCAATAAATAATAAAAAAAAACAATTATCTTCATTTTTGTAGATCTTGTTGTTTTATCTTACACTTATAATTACTTCTTGGGCATGTGAAATGAAAAAATAATAATAGTATTTTTGGAGTATTTTTTTAAAGTGGTTTAATATTTGAATTAACTATTTTTTTTGGTTAGACATATAAGTTATATTAAAAAAACATATAAAATATACTTATATTCTATTTAGCGAAACTTCCAAAGTCTGCTTGTTTTGAAAAAAAAAAACTTTTAAAGATTAGAAGTGTGTATGTTTGGTATACAATTTCAAAGATATTTTTGTGTGTGCATATATATGGATAAATTCCAAAGTAAACACCAAAAGAGCATAGCGTAAGGGATAATAGCGCAAGGTGCAAATGGTGAAGATACTATAGGATGATTTGACACTCCTCACCAACTTTCTTTCTTTTGCCTTTATGCAAGACAATTATCGTGGTGCTGAAGAGGAAAGCGTGTATGTATTACTATCGACCATACAATAATGTCACTACAAAATTAGAGTATGTAAATGATTTTTTAGAACAAGTTTACAACAACAATAACAACATACTCAGAGTAATCTCACAAAAATGGAGTCCAAAGAGACTCAAATGTACAAAAACCTTACCACTACTTTGGGCCAATGACATGATCCAATAAACTTCAAATGGGCTTTCTTTTGGCCCATCTCATTTCTTCAACATAAGGCCCACATACATATATATACCTTGGAGCGGGAAAAACATCACTCCAAAAATTTGAAACGCAGCTAAACGACGTCGCACTGTAGTTTGCTATAAAGCCCTTTTCCCAAAAAATTAGGGCTTTCAATTTTGATTCAACAATTCACATTTTGTTGAATTTAGAGCTTTTTTTTGGGTTTGTGTAATGGATGGTGAGTTTTGTACTCATAGAAGATGAATAACAGTCGAGAAGAAGCGAATCGCTCCGGCGCAGACGAGGAAAATGCGAAGTTTCATACAGTTCAGCCACTTCGGGATTTGGAATCGAATTGGGGTGTTGATTTAGCTAAAAATCTTGAGGAGTATTTGCTCAAAATTTGCTCGGGTGAAATTACTAGTGAAAATTATGATGATGGGCATCACCTTTCTGTGAATTTTGCTGAAGGTAGGTAAAAATTTTAAGCTTTGTGTGTACATTCTCCTCCACTTTGTACATTAATCACATTTCTCTTACTTTTGTGTAGCAGAAATAAGATCTCATTTGGCTATAAATTTTGAAGTTGAAATTTGAAAATTTTAATTGTTAAAGTTGTGATGAACATGAATTCTACCTGGAAAATGTTTGAATTTTTGTGAGTGGTAGTGAATTTTCTCCCCAAAAATGGTCTTGGAGAATATTTTGGAGATAGAATTCTAGAATTTGATCAGAAAAATGTTTTTATTTTTTTTGTAAAATAATTTTCCCCATGCCAGGTAATTTTTGATGTTTCAGAAAGGAGGTTTTGGGTTTGTGTGGTTTGAAAAGGGTGTACTTGTAATTCTTTTGATGAGATGTTTTTTTGGATGTGTAGCTGCTTTGCTGCTTCAGGGGTCAGTTCAGGTTTACAGCAGGAAGGTGGAGTATCTGTATTCTCTTGTAGTGCATGCTTTGGAATTCATCACCAAGAAGAGGTTTTTTTTCAGCTTTTGCTGTTTATTTTTGTTTATTCCTTGAGATTTGTAAAGGCGTCTCTGGTTGGAGATAAAGTCTAATTATTTGCATAATTAGAGGCTAGGTTACAATTTATTCAACTTTCTCTTGTTCTGTAAATGGATGAAACAATGTTCAGTCTTAGTTACCTCTGCTTGTCTTCAACATGTATTATCACGTCGGTAGCTGTACATCTCAGGCCATTCACCTGTGATGTACAAGGGTTTGAATATATGTTTTTCCAGGAAATGACTTCTAAAGCTCCTTTCTTTTCTTGGAAAGCTGTTGTTCTTTTTTTTTTCTTTTGGTTTCTCTCTAAATTTGTTCAGTGCACTAGCCTGTGAAGATGGTTTTGATGTAATTTTGGTCCTCTAGAGAAATGATGCTGCTAATTTTAAGTAACTTCTGCAACTTAACATTAGATGAAAGCTTGTATGTAAAGGTTGTTAAATGTTGCACTTTGTTGATTGAGTTTTTATCCATTATCAAGCAGTTCTTTGTACAATCTGACCCTGCTTGTCTTTGTCTTCACCTAGTTAAATGGTGTGAATAGTATTCTGGTAATGACAGTTAGAGCTTTTGGATATTAATACTAATTGTTTCTAAGATAGCTACCATTTCCTACTCTGGTGTATGTTGGATTGGAATACCTACTGGGAGATAATCCTTTGGAAAATGTTGTATTGATAGATGTCAACAATTACATGTAGATGTTGACAATGTCCTAGAACCACACCACATACTTTTGGTCTAGTTGTGGGTTATTTCTCTTAGGTATTGATCAGAAGTTCATAATTTTTCTAGAGACCAGGTTAGAAAAGCCACCAAGTAAACAACAATAACATTAACTACATCCCAGTTCCAGTTTAGTTGGGTCAACTATACGAATCCTCCATAGCCATACCCATTTCATCCCACTATTCAATAATTTTTTGATCAGACAAATTATGGATTCTAGGCTCTGTATATTTCCTACATGATATTCAAATTTCTAGACAAACTGAGAAGGCTCATTACAAACACCAGCCATAATGTATGTAATAGCCTCGGTCATAAAAAAAATGTATGTAATACCTCTCTCATGGTTTGGGACTTTGAGGAGCATGGAAATTATGATATGATTTATGAGAATGAAACTTCACACACACCCAATCACCCACTCACTGCTGAAGACACCAACTCAGGATTATAATTTTTTTTGAAGCTTTTATTCTGCTTGTAAACTTTAGTTATCTAAGCATGGACCATGGAGAGCTAGGACCTTTACACAGTCAATGATTTCTGATTGACCAGGTTATTTTGTAGAGAGGTTGTTATTCTTTTTCTTTCTGAAAAGAAAGTGGATTGGTCTTGTCATTGCAGTGTTGTGGCTAAGGTCAGTAATGTCTACTTCAAGCAATAATGTTATCCCTTGGTCCATCAGAATGAATGAGAGTGTAGCGTATGGTGCTCTGCTTCACTCTTTCTTTCTTCATTTGACTTTGTACCAGAGTCAAGTGAGTCTAGTGTGTGCTGCACACACTTGCGCCTCGACAATTTCTGCCTTTGAAGGTGCTGTGTTTTCTTAAGGTGAAGGCAGGAAGATTATTGAAAAGAGTCTTGCTATAAGAATATTTTTAAACATATGTTGTTTAGAATGAAGGTTAAGCAAGTTACACTCTCTGAGTACTGATTATTTCCAATTTAGAAGTTTTTCTCATTTTATCCAGGAAAATGAATCTTCTCGTGAACATTATATAAGTCATGGGATTCTTATTTATAGCTACTTATAAAAATATTTTTATTTATGTTGCGTAACTTGATGTTAAAGAATTGTTCATCAGCTAAAAGACTCACATACTTTATTTAAATAGGGGACTGATTCTGTACTTTAAGAGGTCTAGGAGAACAAAATTCCATTTTTTATTTCACATTTTCTTCTGAATTCTCTAGGAATTTCAGCAATTTGACAAAGTTCAAGAAAATACTGTGTGAGTAAAAGTAACCATGGGTCATTTTGGGAAGTTAGAGTTTCTCAACCTTCCTGATTTGGAGAAGATTGCATTTTCCTTCTTGAGATCATGCTGATTGGTTCTCAACTTTCCTGATCTGGAGAAGATTGCATTTTCCTGGTTGAGACCATGACGATTGGTTCACAAGTATTACGTCAGCAAGAAAAATTCTGGTGGGGCATCCAAGGCAGCTATATGTCATGTAAAATATGGCAGCCTACTGCTTTTGTTTTGGGTTTCTATCATGGTGATTATTGACCCGAAAGTAAAATCTAAAGAGATACATCTCCATTTCTAAAAGTCTTTACATTTCCTTAAGTTCTTAACTTAAAAAATATGTTTGGCTAACTTTTTCGCATAAATACTTTTGGGACAAACAAGGAATATATTATTGTTTGACTTTTGGAAAAAGTAATTCACGTTAGTGTTAGAAATATTTAGTTTTAGAAACAAACAAGGATTTGGGTGGAGTGGTAAGTACTCCTTCATCCTTAACCAGAGGTCTCGGATTCGAGTCCCCTTGGGTATGGAGTCGTCTTTGTTAGGGAGCGCTTTACACCCCCCCCCCTCCCCCAATGTGGGACTTCCCGGCGCAAATTCGGATTTAGTCGAACTCCAATGTGGATATCAGACACCGAATGGAAAACCAAAAAAAAAAGATTTAGTTTTAGGCACACTGCCAAACACATGAATGTATGTACATAAATGTTGTTGAGCTTACATCATAGCTTTTGCTAAAAACCGTATGGAAATGCTTGGTGTTCCCGATGTTGCTTTTCCCACTCGGTTTTAAAGCTCATAAGTGTCTACAATAACATACTTGGTGGAATTCCACGAGTGGGATTTGGGGAGGGTTGAGTGTACGCAAACATTACCACTATCTCGTGGTGATAGTGAGATTGTTTCTAAAATACCCTCGACTCAAGTGTAGTAAATCAAAGTACAAAGAGTAAGAAAACACGGGGAAAAATATCGGAACTAACAAGGTAAGTAGTGCAAATCCTACTAGAAAGGAACTAGAACAACAAAATAGTGCGACATTTGAAACACAATAAACAATAGACTGTGATAGAAATCAAAAGCATAAAGCGCATAAGTGTCTATTTAGCTAAAGGACAAATTATAGACAAAATGGTTAAATTTTCCACTTGAGTTTCCTTGTTAATATTGACAGTGCAATCTTGTAAATCATCCTTTATAAGTTATTCCAATAGCGTATGACCAACATTCCATTTTAAAAGTCCAATTGATCTGATATATTATACCATGTTTGGCATGGAAATGCCTCATGTTAGAGATGGGAAAAGACATCAAATGCACCCTAAAGATGTCTTGGCAAGTCAAAT